AAGAAGAGAAAATTTGTAGCCAAACGAGAGTTTTTGTTTGGAAGCAACACGAACACGAGAAAAGCAAGAACAAAGGAGAAAGGGAGAGCGAAACGAAGTTTGTGGAAAAGAAAGAGTTTGTGAAAAGAACGGAGAGAAGAGAGAGAGAACACAGAGACCAGCGGCAGAAACGAAAGACAAAAGAGAAACGAAGAAAGAGAACGAAAGAAAACAAGAGAGAAGAAAGAAGAGAAGACTCTTGGTGAAAACCGAAGGAAGGTTTTGGTGAAGCAGCAGAGAGCAAGAGAGTGGGGTAAGAAGAAGAAAGTTTGTGGAGAAAGAAGAAGAGAGCAGAGGAAGAAGAACAACAGAAAGAAGAAAGAGAAAGAAAGAGAAAAAAGAAGACAGAGAAAGAAGAGAAAGAGAACAGAGGAAAAGAGAAAAGAGAAACAGTGGAAGCACAGAGGGAGTGTTGTTGTTTCTCTTGTGTTTTTTTTTTGGTTGGCCGGGTTTTTTTGTTTTTTGGTTGTTGTTTTTTTCGCTTTTTTTTTTTGGAAGAGAAGTTTTTTGAAGATTTTGCTGGGTGTTTCTGTTCGTGGTTTTTGTTGTGTTTTGGTGGATGTGGTTTTGGTTGTTGGTGCTGGGTGCTGGCAGTTATCGATCAGTTATCGATCACTAACCGGGTGCAGTTCTCCGATCACCATCTCTGCCGCCATCTCTCTGGCGTCGCTGGAGTGTCCGACGTCCTCGAAGCTCTCGGTGGCGTTTCCTCCCGCCTGCTCCCTCAGAACCTCCTCGCCACCGGGGTGCTGACGGGACGACACACCGATTATTACTTATTGATCAACTGTGTGTGTGTGTGAACAGTTTCTATTGATCCAGCAGGCAGAAACACAACAACAAACAAACGGCAGTGACGTCATTAAACTATATTGATTATGTGGAATAAAATCAGAAAGTTAGATTTATCTGATCAAGATGATTGTTGTTGTTGTTGTTGTTGTTGTTGATGAAATGTCAATATTTTCAGGGTTTGTCATCATTTGTGCATTTTAAAGACCAAACATCCGATCGAGAGCTGGTGATCATTAACCGCAGCTCGCCACGGCGTCCTGCAGTGACCCCTCCACACAGCCCGCTGGTCAAAGGTCAAAGGTCAGTTGACCAAAGTGTGAAGATAAAGCTTCATTCAGAGTCACGTCCTAATAATTAATTAATAACAACGGTTCTTATAATAAATTATAGATGAATACTAATAATAACAATAATAATAATATATTTAATAATAATAATAGGGAATGTAAAAAACAGTTTCACTACCTCCTTAGAAACAAAAGTCTTGACTTTTATTTTAAATTATTATTATTATTACTAAAATGTTTATGTAAATAAATAAATAAAACATCAGTTGATTTAACATTAAACTCTCATATCTGTATTAGCACAAATAATCATTAAAAATAATTTACAAGAAAATCAAAATTGACAAAATAAAGTAAATAATCTTTAGAAAAAAAAAAACATTTTAAAAAGTTTCACTCTTGTCATCTCTGATCTTCCGTACAAACATCAGATCAGCAACAAAACTTTTATTTTTATCTTATTTTCTAAAAGTAGATTTTTAAATGATCAGATTTTTATAAACTCTAATACCTGTATCGATCTGTTAAAGCTCCAGTATTGATCCGGCTCTGATAATACTTTATTAGCGGATACAGACAGGATTGTATTTAATATATTTAAAAGGAGCTGGACACTGACGCGCTGACTCTCCCACCAGACTTCAGCCAAAAAAAGCCCCATTTAGCAGCAGACACTCTGGCAGCAAAGCGCACAGAAATGTAAACTTATTCCCTCCTCAGAGCAGAAAAGTGTTGAAATAAAAGTGTCCGGCTGTTTGTCTCAGCACCCAACCGGCTCCGTGTCCTCTCCCAGCCGGTGTCTACACGCTGGCTGCACCGAGCTGCTGCTGCCTTAAAGCGGGCAGAAAGTGAACGGGCTTCCTCACCTCCTCCAGGAACTTGGTCACATCGTACACTTTGTTGTGGATGATGATCCAGGTTGATTTGAAGGTGTTCTGCTCTTCGACCTCGGACAGTCTGTAATATTTGACTCCTTCGGGACTCTGCTCTTCACTTTCTCCCATTTTATGTCCTTAAATAAAATGTCCCTTAAAAAAAACCCTCCTTTAACCGCGGGGAGCCGACGGGAGCCGACGGGGAGCAGTTCAACGAGCGGTTCGCGGTTATATAATCCCACCGAGGCTGTCCGGAACCGTGACTCCGCACGAACACACCGACATTTAACCCACTTTCCATCAACAAGAGACGGCCCCGAGTTTGAACTCACCCGGCGTCAATTCACCGCAACACGGTGCGGGACGTCCGGCCGCTGCTTTCAAAATAAAGCTCTCCTTAGTTTACGTGCGGCAACAGGTTCAGTGTCAGGACACAAAACACACAGAAATAAATAATAAATAAACACATTAATAAATAAATAAATATTGTTTTCTTAACTGCTTTTAATGATTTATTCATTGTTGTGTGTTGGTTTTTTTCATTACTTTTTTATTTTCCTTAGAAAAGCGCTCAATAAATAAAATGTATTATTATTATTATTATTATTATTATTATAAAAAATAAAAAGTAAGCAAGTAAATAAATAAATAAATACATTAATAAATAATAGTAAATACATTAAAAAAGTAAGTAAATAAATAAATACAT